CAATAATAATACAATAATAATACAATAATAATACAATAATAATACAATAATAATACAATAATAATAATAATACAATAATAATAATACAATAGCAGAGTTGGAAGGGACCTTGGAGGTCTTCTAGTCCAACCCCCTGCCTAGGCAGGAAACCCTATACCGTTTCAGACAAATGGCTATCCAGCATCTTTAGTAAACATTCTGCTGAGGAACACAAATTTATCTATTTGCTAAAGTCTTTTTGCCCTTTATATATGAATAACCATTCAATTTTTCCTGTAGTCTAATTGCTGCCTCTGTATTTTTTGACCGTGAAGGATGCAATATCCAGTTCGTGTACAGATTTTTAGCCACTCTGTTAAGACAGAACTTTGCCTGGAGTATATCATCCTGGCATTTATTAAACTAAATTTATTTAAACTTAATTTAAAACCAAATTTGTATATCAGTGATTGCATGACCTCTGTAGATAAATAATTTTTTAAAAAAAATATTTTTCCCTGTCAAACATAACCTCTTTGCAACACAGTACATTAATTTTGATATGCATGCTTCCCATTGCATTATACAGGCCATCTAACATTCACTGCAAATCATTTGGGTCCTCAGACCATAACATGGTACTTTTGTATTGCATACAAAAGTGCAGTACATGCATATTGTTACTAACAACTTACTTCTACTATCACCACAAGGATTCCTTGCACGTTTACTTATAAATACATCATTGTCATGCCCCTGACTTTGCAATGTACCATTTGCTGAGTATTTATTGTCATGCATCCTTTTTTCCATAATATACTGTGCTTATCACACTAAGCAGCCAACCTCCATCTGTATATTTATGCAAAACAATTCCATAATTCAAGCCTATTGTGCTTTCTCTAAAGGAATAAATACACAATAAACTTTCTCACATTTTTAGATTTCTTACTAATTTGCTGAAGTGCAAAAGTCTGGTCTGCATACCCTTTGCCTGGCATAAAGCTGCACTGCTCTTCCCAGCTTTTGCTGTCACCTCTTGTCCTCTTTCAGTCAGAAGTCTGCCAAGCCTTTCCCCAGGCACACTTCAACCAATCCTCCTGCAATGTTTGCATTCACTTTTCCTACCATCCGGTTTCTATCAGGAAACAGTGTCATTCTAGCAATAGTCAGGCATGTGGTCTTCGCCCGCATGTTAAACAAGTCTCTTAGTCTCCATAAGCCCCTCCATAATCAGGCTGGCAATTAACAGACAGGCAGATTGTCTATGATGAGCATTCCCCACCCCCCTACTCTGTGTGAGATATCTGGCTTACCACCTCCAGTGACGGAGACTGGCTTCTTGCACTCACGGTCTGAGGTACACTGGTATCGAAGATTATTCTAAAAAGGGAAGACAAAGGGAAGGGAAGAAAGCATGGGAAGCAGAAATTACTGGTCCACTTCCAGGTTCCCCACCACCCCAATTAATGTATATATTATGAGGCAAGAAGGGAGAAGCACACTGTTTTGGAAGTCAAAAGTCCACCACTTAATTTTAGCTCGGTGGGAAACATACCCAGTGCATGCAAAATGTTCCCACGTGAGACTTTCACTTCTTCAGGTATATGGCTGTTAGAAACCTCTGTCTGGAATGCCAGAAAGCTGCTACCTTATTATTAAAAATAAGGCAGCTTGCTATAATGCAGCTTCACTCAAGTCAGGGATCTCTGCAGCTTTCTATAAACAATCCCTTGCCGACATGAAACAAAACACTAAAGTTTTGAGTCTTCTACCTGTTATTTGGAAATGGCTCAAAGTCTGCGCAAAGCAGAAGACAGCTACAATCACCCCTAGCTCCCAATCTCTGTTTTAATCTCACTTCCTACCCTCTCAGTTTAGTAACATACCTCAGGGCAGAAGCCTTGCACCTGGTTCTCCGTCACAATGAGTTTGGTAATGATGACAAAGACTGATGTCCCCTGCCAGGTAGACGGATCCAAAAGATGTAGGCAGAAGAGGGGGGAAGAAATAGTATGTCAAATATCTTGAATGTAAGAGCACAGAGAAGGCATGTCAACTCCTGGTTAGTTCTATCTGCCTGGTCATCTAGAGGGGATCATAATAGACCCACCAGCCTCATAACTAAGATTTAGAATTAGAATTTTTTTTGGGGGGGAGGGAAGCAAAATGTATTTAATAATAAAAAAGTTCAACAGTGAACAGGATTATCAATAGAGATATGAGCTCTCCTTTACTCGATGTTCTCTAGCAAAGACCACAGCTTGAGAATCATTTCTCTGAGATACTGAAGTTTGGATGCTTTCACTGAAGAGAAGCTTAGACTCAATGTCCTACATGGAATTCTGTGATTCTATCCAGTGGTGGGATTCAATTTTTTTTACTATCAATTCTGTGGGTGTGGCTTAGTGGGTGTGGCGTGGCTTCATGGGTTTGGTTTGGTGGGTGTGCCAGGGGAAGGATACTGCAAAATCTCTGCTCCCTCCTCACTCCAGGGGAAGGTTACTGCAAAATCCCCATTTCTTCCTAATCAGCTGGGACTCGGGAGGCAGAGAATAGATGGGGCGGGGCCAGTCAGAGGTGGTATTTACCAGTTCTCCGAACTACCCAAATTTACGCTACCGGTTCTCCAGAACTGGTCAGAACCTGCTGAATACCACCTCTGATTTTATCTCCACAAATCAGTGGTGGGATTCAAATAATTTAACAACCGGTTCTCTGCCCTAATGACTATCTGGGTAGGTGGGGCTCACCGGTCATGTGACCGAGTAGGCGTGGCCAACTCAAGGTCACTCAGGTCGATGGGCGCTTCGCCTT